AACCTCCATAAATTACGTTGATTGGGACATGTGTTATGTATGCCGCTAAACAGGCTGCCACGGCGCATGATGTTTGTTGAGGAAGGTAGTGAGCGGAAAAACGCCAAGGGTAGGAAAACCCTAACCAGGAGACTCGGTCACATAGGTCTCCTTAGACTCCCTGGATGGGGCCTTCAGGTTGTGGTAACCGATGTTTAGAGACACTGAGTGATATGGCAGCCAAAACACAGCGGAGCACAAAAGTGCATGGTTGATGGTTGTGCAAACTGAAACTGCAAACTGAGACCAACGGTGTTTAATAACAGCAATTGTCCTTCATTCTTTCATTGTCACTTATCCGTCTGAGAACGCCTCTTTATTACAGGGGATTTTTAAGTCAAGTATCTTGCTGGACTAGTATCACTCAACGCTGATGGATAGGATAGAAATATGTACCTTATTTTTTATCTTTATGTCGTGCTATTTAGAGAGACTTGGTTCCTTATTTATACTTCAACTACGTAATTGTATTAGTGGATAGACAACCAGTCACACTTTCTCTTACTTCTCTTGCTTCTATATGATAGCATGGAACTGAAAGAACATATAATGGCAAAAGTATCACGGTTTCTGAAAGTTTGCTCACAGTATCTTCTTAGGAAAGTAACTTGGATCTACGTTTCTCTTGGGGTTTATCAATTTAGATTGATAATATCCCTTGTTTACAACTAAGTTAACGCAATGACCTCTTACACCAATAGCCTACTAGTTGGTTCGGCTGTTATCGTTCTTCATCGGACTGTTTTGCTTACTCTAAGCAAACTCTTCTTCACTATTATTATTATTATTATTATTAATATACTTACTTTTGTGCAACACAAACTTCTTTCAGGAAGAGGGAAGCGCTTAATTAAAGAAATACCATGTGGTACAACTGAGTGGGGAAGTCAGGCGGTGGTGCTGGGGGTTTGAAAACACGTCCTTGGGGCCATAATTTGATGACCTGAACTCCTAGACCACTTTCGCTCAACCAAACAAAAAAAGAGGTAAGATTAGGCTTTAATCGGTTCAATAAAACATGTTACTTGATTCCATGTACTGCGAATGTCTTCTGGCTTGTAAATAACAATTTGAATATTGCACTTGCTCGGTACTCGGAGTCATTTGAGCGAATCACATTTCGTTCGTCCTAGATATGGGCACAATTTAAATCATCTACTATGAATTATAATTATAATTATTGGTAGTATAATTATTTTTGGTCGCTATTCTGTTTTCAGCGATGGACCACTGGATTTTTATGAAAAGATTAGTGGAAAATGGGCACATTAAAAAATAAATTAAATTTCCACTTAACCAATCCGAATCGGGCGTTCCCCTAACAAAAGATAATTGCGTATTTTAAACCACACAACATACCAATTTTTCTCTCAAAGAAATCTGAAGGTAGCATCTGGAATAAGAGATATTGGAAGTAAATTATGTATTTATTAGTTATACACATTCGTTCTTGGCATAAAGTTCATCTACTTTGCCAAAAGGTAACGAATATTTCCTTCACATCTCTGTTGTGCATTAGATTTAAAAACCAAGGGGTTGGAGGTAACTTGTTTGACACAAAGCTTACTTGTTCTCTGGTTAAGGCGGATACTTTGTCGTGGCATTTGATTCTTTCCATAAATTCCGGGGAATCGCTTGAAATCATCGAATTGCCCGAGTGACAAAATCCGTAACGAACTAATTCACTGGCCATTTGCAACGGAACCATGTAGTCCTCGGATAAACAATGACAGAGCCGGAGCATAATTAACTGACGCATCTGTGTGACACAGTTGTTCTGTGTGTAGGCCAAGTGGACATACCGACGTGCAAAACCACCGGAGGAGATAAAACTGGATACTTCCAAAAATTTATGCGTCTTTATTTGCTTTTTGCATTGACGATAAACTGTTGATAGACGCTGGTGAACCTGTGAAACAGAGCGTGATGAGTTCACAAGAGTCAACTTCTACTAGAGCAATGTTTGAACCGAACGTATACACAAGTGAGATAAAACAGAGATGTGTAACTACTGTTATTACATATACAATATAAATTTGCTAATTTGCATTTCTATTAAAGTACCGCTTTTCAAGGTACGGATTGATCATCCCCATAAGAACTAACTGGGAACTGTTAAACCTCGCAATAAACACAACCACAGTAGAAGAATGAATAAACAGCTCACAGCAAACACAGCAAACACTTCAATACAATTCTAACTATGGGCCATTCCATTTTACAAGATGTAAAATAGATGCATTCATTGGCTTATGGTTGCAAAGAATTAGAAGCAGAATGAGCCTTACTTGTAGACTGTGTTACTGAGTTGGTGGGATGATGCGTATCCGCTCGTTAGTGGTAGGATTAGAATTCCGTAAGATAATTTTCGATGAGTGGGTGATATCAGAAAACATGCACACGGGCATTACAAATGAAACAATGAAGCGCACATCGATCACGGTGATGCTCCACGGTGCATACACACACACACACTATGCGCCATCCGCACAACTCGGTCGAAGTTCCCTAATGTTCGCATATCGCTGACTGCATACACGCACATGCCGAACCCCCTAGTGGGTCACCGCTGTTTGTGTCGTATTCGTGTGCACTGCAGCACATGCCTCCGTTTGCTGTAGAATTTTCGACCGATCGTGCACCGAGTGAGGAGCAAACACTGGCACTGGCCACCGGCTCAAATGAACGTCTAAGTACATAAGGCATCTTGGTCGTTTGACTCGATCCAAAGGGTGCATAATCCAATGAACTGGACATCACCGAACACAGAGCATAGGGGCACAAGTTCCATTTTGCACAGCCATTAACCATGCATTTTCGTGCGCCAGTTTTGATTCCTTTTCTTTCTATCCATTTGGAGGAAAAGTACGAGAAAGACAGGAAAGTTGGTAGTAGAGTAGAAGAAAAATTGGGGAATTTAAGTGGACCAGGATTGCAAAGAAATTAAAATTATACTGTTTACGGCACTCAGCCATATCACTGAGCGTCCCTAACCACCGGTTACCACACTCTGAGGGCCCCCATCCAAGAAGCCTAGGGCGACCTATGTGACCGAGTCTCCTGGTCAGGGTTTTCATACACTCGTGGCAGGTCTTGTTTCGACCACACTTGACTGTTTGCCACTCAATACCTGTCTCGGCAAACATTGCGCGCCGTGGCAACCTATTTGGTAATATAAACAAAATGCCCCAACAAACGTAATATATGTAGATTGACCACCTGCTGCAATGGATGACCGCCGTTGCTCATAACTCTGTGCCTAACCGCAGCATTACTTGACCAATGGCCTCACCAGATTAAGTCAGTCAGTCAATCAAGTAAAGTTTTATGCATCCAATTGGTGCAATGCTGCGCAGACAGTGGTGTTCGAACACTGACAGTCTATTTCTATCCTGTTTTATGGTCAAGGTTTTTCGCCTTATAGCAGACGTAGCCGAACTTCGGTAGCATACACTCAATCCTTCACAGACAGCCGCATGTCGCGACGGCACCATAGATTTAAAAGTTTCAACGCTTTATTATGGACAATATTTACAGGCAGATGCTTTTCTTGTCCCATAGGGTGTTTACACGAATTGAATTGTAACGATGATGAATAAAATTCCATATGCTGCATTCGGTTGTGTTATATGTGCTCATGGACGTTGGAATGGAATGTGTGTTAATGATATGTCAAGTTGTACCTTGAAAGAATCAATCGCCGTGGTACAAACGACATGAGATGGTAAGGAATTCCAGACAGTGCACACTGACGGCGAAGGAATGATGTCGATAGTCCAGTCGAGATTTTCGGAATAGTAACTTGAATGGATGTCCCCGTAGATTAGCGTTTGACGACAACCTCAAAAGTGATTGACAAGTGTGGTTTGGGTTGTGTAATATTTAGTACATAAAAATCAAGTCTTCTCGAACCGACGATACTGAGCAGAGTATAGACCCAATGACTGCATTATCCCCGTGTATGAATCATGATAGAGTCCTTTGACCGTCTTCGTGGCGAGCCTTTGTGGACGTTCCAAAATCTTATGATCACATTTTAACCATGGGTTACAAGTTTGGATGGCATACTCAATATGCGGCCGGATGTATGCTGACAACAGACGTGAGAATAGCGACGGTTCAAAACGACCGAAACATGTTTAAGTAGACCGACCTGTTTGAGTGCGATTGATGACGCCCTGGCGCAGTTACCAGAACAGCTCAGGTCTTCGGAAACTAAAACATCCAAGTCTTTCTCTGTTGATGCATGAGGCAGTAGTAAGTTTCCGAGGAAATAAGGAAGCCACCCATAGTGGCGTAGCAAAATCACCTTGCATTTGGATACGCTAAATTGGATGTCGTTCTCAACAGACCATTTGTGAGCTGCATTCAGTGTTTTTTTTTTGAGTTCCAGCAAACCCTCGCTTTCTGTCACTGTCTTCCAGATTTTGACATCGTCTGCAAACAACAATGTTTGTGGTCCTAGGGCATTCCGTAAGTCGTATCAAGTTGGTAAATACCAATTGAACCTTCTAAATGCGGGCTGACAAACATTACTTTCTGTGGTGAGCTCGAGTGAAAAAGTGCCGGAAGCTTGGACTCGTCTATAAGTATAAAGAGATTGTAATTTTTAAATAAACTTCTCGGGCACACCCTTTAGGGAAAAACAGTGCCAGAGTTTACAGTGGTCTACTGAGTCGAAGGCCGCTTTCAGATTGAGGAGGGCAGAGAAAGAAAAGGCTGTCTATGAATCGAATTTGGTGGAGGGCAAAGATGTGGTGGATACAACCTCGAACAGGCCTAAAACCAGCATGGTTCTCACTCTTTCTGTGCTTCAGACAATCGATGGAGTATTATATCAGAGAGAAGTTTACAAGCAATGTTGATTAAACTAAGTAATATGTGGCTTTCGCAGTAAGATCTCTCAAGTTTCTTGTAAATCGGTAAGATGACCGATTCACATAAAAACCTAGAGAAATCCCAAATTCAGTCACTGTTCTCTCAAAAAGCACCACTTCGTGTAATATCTCCGTTCTACCAGAATGGATGGGTTGGTTGTAAATGCGATATTTGACTGGGTTTAGACTGAACGGTCTTAAAAACAAAAAGGTGCTTGTAAACCTAATACAATCAATGTAACACGGTGCGATTTTGGAAAAAATATATGTATATATATATATATCAGTAGCAGAACGCAATTTCCTCGTGCAACCACCGTGCGTAAAAGAACTGATATCAAGTGATGCCCTTGTGGATATCATAACATTTATTTGTAGTACCCTTCTTGTGGATCTTCCTCGTGGATCCCCGATATGGATCAACACTCACTGAAAACGTAAGACACACCAATTGCTTGCCTCTGACGAATCTTTTCATTTCCTTTCGATCTCCAACGAGATGATGATGATGTTTCAGTCTATTCACCACTGTACGATAAGCACCACAATGTACAGACCTTAGAAAATTTTCCGTTGAGGTGCACCATGTAAACAATTTCGACGTTGAAACAGACAAACACTAATCTTGACTTTAATGTAATGAACGACAAAGAATACTGGGTGGTTGTATTTTTCATGTTGGGATCCGTCAGCGAGCTGCCTACCCGGACCCGTCTCCCTCCGGACTTCAAGGCCGACAATGCATACTTGAAATGCATTCCTTGAACATATCCACGCATCATAGCCTATGCAAGTTTACAAACACTAGGATCCATATGGATGAGTTTTATTGGGTTAGGCTCGATCACTGGATTTCGATTTAAATTAATGATTACCAAGGAGCAAACCGATTGTAAATTCATCCGCAAAAACTACACTGATTTGATAATTTATGATGTCCGCCCGATCCAGACTTGTGCAACTTGCTGCCACCAAGCAGACCCCGACTACAGACGGAAAACTTCAGTGACCCTGCCCGAACTCACACCTTGCATAGAATAAATGCGAATGTAAAACAGTGTTAATCATTACGTAATAACAGAGACCGAACAAAATAAAGGGGTGCATATACTCTGTGCTCCATCCATTCATTACGTTCAAACCACCGGTGATTTTAATCACGTAGCATTTCATTTGATGAACTATCCATGCAGTGATAGAGGGTGCCATAAAATGAGTAATTTGCTCCAAGGATGGCTTGTTATCCTGATCACATATTTGAATTAGCGTACCGTAGAATTATGGTATGACTGATTTGATCAACCTTTGGTACTGTAGACAAATACGACTTCAGCCGAAACAACTGCGAGTAACTAAAGATATGGGTATATATATAATATCAGCTTGCGGACAAGCATAGTACCAACGCCTCTGAAACTTTGGTATCGTTCTTCCGGTTTTCTTGTACAAATCAGCAGTGTCGAGTAGACGACGATATTGAAGCCCAAACAGTTTGCGTTAATTGTTCACAAACCATGACCACATATTTGTTTCACTTAGTAACAGTAACCTGAAAACTACGATACACCAAAAAATGAACCCACTAAGTCGCTTTTCTTCACTCACTGTCTATCTATTCACTGTCATGTACTTTTTCTCGGATCTGTATGCGGCAAGCAGCCCGAATGCGCGCGAGGATGCACACAGGCATTGAATAACTTATGGCCAATTACGACGTCTCCGTTTCCTGGCCTGAAGGAGCAGCCTAGTTCTGTTATCACGGTCCGAGAATAAACTGCTTGGAGTCCGTAAGGTTCTCTTAGCCTACGTTTGTACAAGTCTTCATATATTCCCGTATAAATAACGAAATTTATTAATAAATCTAACCAACATTGCTTCAAACAAATATAAAGAAATCGAAAAATAAACTTACTGTGAAATTATGACATCAGTGATGCGATTTCCGCTGAACTGATATCTATTAGTTTTCAGTTCCGTTTAGAGCTGATTGTGGTATGTAGTTGGGGTAGTACAGAGAAATAATACCAACTTACGAACTGACTGATTTCAACGGACACTTGTTGACCGAACCGAACACCCACTGAAATAACCGAACGGGAACTGCTCGCTTTGTACACATCATCAGCAGATAGAGATCCGGTACGTGGCAAATTTGTATCTTCGTGAACGATCACATGAAAACCGTCCATTTTGACCGCCTTTTTTGCATCCAATTTTGCCTGAGGAGATGTTTCTCTGGACAGGAATAATCGATCATCCCAAGGCTGTGAATATGAAAAAAGCAGCAAGTTATAAACTTTTTCAATTACCGGAACACTACTGAAATAGAAATATACGTTGAAAGAGTATAGAACGGAGCATTCACGGATGCGAAACCGAGATATGGAAAGTAGTGTTCAAATTTATTCGTTATTCAAAGAACTGCTTCTTTTTGTGAAAGTGTAAGAAAGTTCATCTAGATCCATACATATGTTCATCACATACACTTTGAGCTCGGGTAGATCTATGCATTTGTATTTCACGGTTTCCAACAGTATCAAACGTGAGAAATTGTTTTACAGAAATAGGTGAAGAAAGCGTGATCAGTGAACAGTTGGATATACCGGTTCGATCTTATCCGGTCGCACCATCACTATGGATATTTCACATTTAACGCATCGTTACTTGTGAGTAGAACAGCACGAGACAATGGATATATTGTGCAAACCCATGTTTCTGACTTCTCTATACAAATTTGTAACGGTAAAACAGCGTTTTCAGTTTCTTAAGTGTTGTTTTCCAGCACCAATAATACGTCGATTGAGCGGACTTCTATGACTGAGGTGCAAAGGTGCTGTGCAACGTGTGCGGATGGATATTCTATCTGGACGCATCGAACATAGCCGTTACCTACGGCGTGGACAAGTTCGACCAACATCGAAAAACCTGAAGCAGTTAATCAAGCGTCATATCGAGGAGTCAAGAGCCAAACTTCCACAGTTTACATAACGCTTTCAGAGCTATGGACCATCTAACCGTAATACCGCTTATCAAATTTACTAGTTTCTGCTGTGAAAAGGTTCGTCAAACTCGCACGTATGAAATAAAGAGATTGAGTAAGTCACGGAATTATAAATTGATGAATCCGTAATTTTCTGCTAACTCTAAAAAATGACTTTGCAGTTTATCTTTATGTCGGTTGAATAGACTGCAACTCGAAGTTTTGTCATATGGTCTACGTTATTGTATTCCGCGAAGAAGGAGTAATCACGCTGAATCTAAACAGTGTTTGGGTCCTTTTCTGATCAGTAGCCACATACTAAGCCAACGAGTGAGGGTGATTTGGTCTGGTTTAATGCAAAATTATTGGATATAATGAACTGAAGCCGAATTACAAGAACAAAACGAACTTCTTTACTGATCGATGCAAACACACACATCGAAGAACTAAATCAATTCAAAGCTAACCGAAATATTGTAGTGTTGCACCCCGACAAGGGTTCCATTGTAGTAGTGATGAACAAATCAAACTACAAAGAACCGATGATACATATCTTACGTGACCAAACGAAGTTCAAGCTTGACAATACTCCAGATAATTCAAGTGAAATAGAGAAAGTTTGTGTGGAACTGAAAGCTCTCACCCAGGTAAACCTTATACAAGAATCCCGGGGAAAATGTTTACTCCCGAGGAAAACACAGACATCGCAAATATGCGGCTTACAGAAGCTGCATAAAAAGACATTCCATTACGACCCATTGCAAGTTGGATAAATTCACCGCAACATATATCAGCAAAGTGGTTAGCTCAATCGAGAGAGAGACTCAATTGCTCGACGTAATTTCAAGGATAGCTTTGAAATGGGCAAACATCCGACCTATAGAAATATTCAACAGAGACAGATATCTACAATAGATGTCAAATCTCTGTCCACAAATCTTCCGCTGCATGAGACCATTGGATTACCTGCCAGATAACTGAGAAAAAGAAGTTGCAGGTCGGATTACCTAATATATAAAATCCCACGACCTCTGCTTCTATGCACGTCAAACGTTAAAATTTCCTTCCTCAGGCAAGGATATCGACAAATAAATGTGGTCACCACGCGCAGTCCGCTGAGACCAATTCTTGCAGGTATTTTTCTTGGCCACCTAGAAGAGAGGCTTGAAGATAATAGTTCAAAATTATATCTATACTGTCGCTATATTGATGAGATCTTCGTTTCAAGCAACATCAAGGAAGACGGAGAAATTTGATTCCATCGATTCACCCCAACATCCCGCTACTGGTTACAACTAAAGGGACAACTGCATCGAGTTTCTAGATATAAACATTACTCGTAGATCAGATGGATCAATTAAGAGATCTGTCTTCCAAAAGAACGCGATCTGGGTAAATTTCACGAGCTTCGTTTACTCAGGAACATAGAGAAGGTAATAAGTGAACATTGTCCCAATATTGGATTATGAAATGTCTCCATGTCTATGAAACGTTTCTCTCCGTTGAATATGTTCTTTGTGATGATTAACTGCACGGTTTTTTAACTGAACTGTGAGCTTCAGTGCTTGAAAAAGTTGTACACAATACAACACAATGCAACACAACAGTTACTGAAATTTTTCAGAGGCTCTAGTTGTTCATATTCTCAAGCCCGATCTATGCAAGCAACTTGATTGGTTAGTCACATTAGCTTTGCCTTGATGATTGACCCTTACCGTTCTCGGTTTTCGTATTGTTGTGTCGTGTTGTCCATTGTGATTAGAGATTTTATCTTCGTCTCAATTATTATCTCACTGATTGTAAAAATCACAATTGATATTGATTTAAACTGGCTAATCACAATTAACTGTGAGTTGAATGTGAATTATCAATCAAAGAATTTAGAAACAGCTGTACAGCACTCTGCAGAATTTCGATTCACTTTTGTTCTGCTATAGACACTCCCGTGCGCTCTGATAAATAACTATTATTGTTGTTTGGCAGATTGTATGTCGATTGCGCAACGTTCAGTAACCTCGGTGAGATTCGAACCCACGCATGGACGCCGCCTACACTTCGTACGCGCATGATCATGATGCTTCTTCTTGCTATCATGAAATTGTTAAAGGGAACTGGTTGCATGAAATAATTAATAGTCCAAAAAACATCACAATAAGTCATATTTATATCCCATCATCTATATTGTGCGGGCTTTCAATCATAGGTTGAGTAATAAGCTGAAGATTACCTGTAGAATTTGTGCCCGACTTTCAACCGATAACAAGGCCGGTTGAGTTCGATTGGGATTATATGGACGACGTAGTAGAAGATGCAAACCCCGAGTAGAACCAGGTTCCTTCACCATGGTCGAATTCATTTTGAGCTGAACGAACAGAAATGATGGATTAGGGGGAAAAACAATAATTGAATTGAAAATTGCATTAGAAATTATAACCGGTACTTCACCCGATCTTATATTAACTAGTTCCAGTCTACAGTCAACTAGTTTAAATATCGCAATAAGAATTCCTCCAATTTTATACATACATATCTGTTTGTATTGAATCAAACTCATTCCCGAGTGAGCTTCGTCGTGTACAAAGCATTATCTGGAAATTTATGAATCACTGCACAACTGTGTCGTTTTGGTTGGGTTTCACGAGCAATGCGAATCGGTAGACCAAGCTGAGAAGCAAACACAAGGGCAAACAGGTAGAACAAACGTACGACACTATGTACCGTATACAGGTATTTCGCTCTGTATGTGACGGAATTCACTGTATAATTGAATTAAACGTTCGATACTCCAATGTAATTAAACTAGTCTGCACAGAGTGATGGCGCTAGTAAGGTTCCTGCGGTTTGGGTGGAAGGTTACATATTTGAAACCTGTCCCCGATAACTAACTTTGGTGGTTTACAGTTTTATTGTTGCTCCATAGATATCACGCGCTTCCTATTGAGATTCTGCATGGTTTGCCGCTTCCAGTTCAGGGGTTTGACTTAATGGCTATCATAAGTGAATATTCGATTCTCATCACATATCACACGAATTGTGCATTAAAATATGCGTGTATGTAGCAAAATAGTTTACTTAAACAACGTAGAATCTACTTTAAACCAGGTTATTTATTGGTTCAGTACGACTGGTGGGATGGTGAAGACCTTTGGTGCTGTTCGACCACCGATGTCTCCGAAGTATTGCTCGTGTCTGGTGGGAACATCGGGTGAGCAATGACGAGGTCCATCGTCGTGTGTTGGGTGCGGATAGTCGTTCCCCAACAGAAGTAATCGCTCTACACCGCCTCCGATGGCTTGATCACGTATTGTGTATGCCGGCTCATCGACTATCTTTCCGTGCTCTCTTCGCACGTGCCGGACAAGGCTGGAAGAAGTGCCGCGGCGGTCAGACCATGACATGGCGTAGAGGTATGAAGAAGCTGACTTCAGGTTTGGTTTCGGTTGGTGCAGCCCGCCTTTCAGGTTGGGGCCAAAAGGATGATGATCGTCGTTGGTTAGAGAAGCTAAGAGATATGGCCCAGAATAGAAGTCAGTGGCGCGAATGCTGTACGGTT